TGACAGGCTTCCATATCTAACAGCAGTGGATCATCGAGGCCTAAAGGTGGGAACATAGATAGATTTAACGGTAAAAGATAAATGTCAATAAATTATGGTGAAATTATAGTGGTAATTATAGAGGTAATTCAAAATCCATTTAGAAAGTTTCATTCATGAAAATCCTTTCACATACACATTATGTGAGTTAATCCCCTTGATTCCTTCAGATGTACGTTTTGTTGATCGTTTGATTCCATTCAAGATGGTACTACTTTTATTTTATTTTAGTTTTTGATTTGTTTATGTCTACACTGGATCTCCAAGTTTTTCCTGAAAGACATCTATGTTGTCTTAGTTGATATATAGTAAGTTTGGGAGCTGCGATTGACGCATCTGACTGTTTTAAATCCTAACACCTGTTTTTGGTAGGATTCATGTATCACAGTTTTTTTGATAAAATTTGAAGCTATGGCGGCGTGATCACTTTTCCTCAGGAAAGCCAGAATCAAAAGGTTGTCAATTAAGAAGTCCTCTCTTGTCAACGTATGATCTAAACGTAACAGAGTTTAATAGTATTACCGGCTCTTGTTGCGTGATTTGTGATGCCCATTTCTTTCAGATATGCCTGTCGGATAAGTTCTATTAGCAATAATAAGTTCACGTGACTCATCCATTTTGTTCGGTAAACTAGCTGAGTTCGTTAATAGGTAGTTGTTCATAAGATGACTTGTCTTTTTCTATTAACGCTTTCTACGCATTTCCAGTCTTAGAGCTAACGAACCTGAACTGTCCACAGAAAGTAGAGGTGAACACATTCAAACGTTTCTTAACACACCTGATGAGTCTCTTTCAGTTTTGTTCACAGAGGACAGTTCTTAGGTCAGTACAGTGTCATGCATGGAACAAATGAGAACATAAATAAGAGCTAAATATACCTTTAAAGATAAATCATGCTCCTTCACCTGACCAGCAAGTCAGCTACTTCAGTGTACTTTTTGAGACTAAAATGTTTTTTCTCCGCATATTTGTCCGAGGACTATCTGATCCTAGACTATAGCAGAAAATCTAAACCTGAGTAACAAATGTGCATAATCACTATAACTGAAATGTATCAAACGACATGTACAGACACTCTCCTCGGTTGGATTCATGAATGATAAATCTAACAAATAAGATACCCTGTTTTGAACAAAATAGTGTGTGTTTGGTTACAAATTATGGTAAAGTATGACCCATTAAGAACACAAAAAGCCTACTGTCAAACTCACTATCATATCTAACAGTGAACATAGATTCTCAATTTATCTGAGGAGCATAGAACTCTTTAGGTATCAAACACCAGTTACCTTTACTCCTCAGCCTGATTTTTTTTAAGATGAAACCTACAACCGAGCTGATCGAACTAAGATAAGTGATACTCAATATTGGATTACGTCTGAGACTACTAGAATCTCAGAGTTTTCAGTGTAACTTCTATACCTCATTAATAACTCTCCAACTAAACATCGGCAAATATAAAACAGAGGTTTGGGTATAAGTGCGTTAGATATACATATAAGAAATGCGACCAACATAGATAAATGAATAGTTTTGGAACACAAGTTGTGCGATCCCACTTGTACCAAAAAACTGACTTGATCGAGTAATGAAAAGTATGTCTTCTGTCGAGCAGAAAATGATGCTCCGCAGCTCAAGAGGTGTTAACAATCAAACTACAATGTGTTATTAATGTAAAAGGTTGCGAAATACCAAGCCCATCACTTATCAGTTTGCTCAGAAAATGAGCTACTGTAATCCTCAACAGCAGTGTACATTTCTGAAAGATAAGAAAACTGATTCTCATTCTATAGCGATACTCAAATCAGCCACTCAAGCAGTAAAAATGACAACCTTTAAAGTACAGTGGTCGAATAAACAAAATTGAAACAGCTAATGAGAAACTACATTATACTAAGGATGCCACAGACAGTCGGTGTTTGGTAGTAACTTTACTCGTAAAATATTTTTAATCGGACACCAGCCCAATCAAATCAAAATTCAAAAATCAGGGAGTTTGAAGATATAATTTACTGGTTATCGATGTATCGAGAATCGTTAGATTCAGGCTCGCTAATATTTGCAAGGGAAGTACAATACAAAGTACGCGCTCGCGATCTGTTGTGGTTACGTGACCGAGCACCTTCAGCTAGGGTCTCTCTAGTAAAACTAATGAGGTCAGCATCAATGAAGAAGACTATATAATTATATATTCTGGGGACTTATTCATCGTTACAGTGCTAACGGAAGACCAAAGAACCAAAATCGTTCACAAAGTGGATTATTCTAATTCCATACGATCAGATTTGGAAATATGAAGGTCGGATATAATTATTTGACGTCTGAGTGGAAACGACCAGTTATAAGTCGTAAGGTGATTTCCACACACATTGGTACAAAAACGCACGTGAAACATCTTATATTTACAGTATTCCGAAATGAACTCATAATCAGAGATTTCCCCACTTTGACTTTTATGGAAAGCATACACATACTGTTTGTAGTGTATATCAGAAACACATTGACCTTAAAGATGCTACAAGTATACTGAATTTGACAACAAGTTAACCAGTAGCATCTTTAAAATCGAAGTGTACCAACCCAGAAGTCAGAATAGGTTCGAAGGTAATATTTGATAGGCTATCGATGGATAAAAAAGTGACTAATCTAAGCTGGCTATCTGTTGTAGGAGATATGAAGCACGGCGCACCCACTCGTGATCTGGTACGGATGCATGACAGGGCGTCTTAAGCTAGGTGGGTCTATTTAAAATAATGCGGCCACCATCGAATGTCGAAGACTTATAGAGCTATTCATTTTGGGGATCTATCCATCGGTACAACCTTGAGACAATTAACATTATCACTTCTTATTAGTATAGAGCTTAATAGCCCTGACGTTACATCAGAGGTCTTTATCAACCGAGATCCAGTCGCAGAAACGGCAAGTGGTTTCAATTTATACACTAGTACCATTGAAGAAAAAACGATTTTTTCAGATTGTAGGATTTTACTTTGCAGAGAGAAAACATGGATTTTGTGTTAGCCGATTTATATAACCATATTGTGTGAATCCATTCTTTTCTTGGACAAGTTCGTGAAATAAGCAGAAAACATTTGTAGCTCTGAAATTCTTCAACATTAAAGCTGACGTCGTCAATTCGACTGGACAACCCAGGTTGACGGCGCTTGACCAAGCATGCTTATCAGGCCGTTTGTGTTCGCGATACACCGGATCTTATAAAGTAATTGTTTAGCTTAGATTACATACTTTTCATTGCATCAATCATTTTCAAAACATACACTTCCCGGCTCGTAGTTCGATTGGCTTTGAAACCTTCAGATTATAGGGTATTACAGACCGAAGCGTTGCCAAAGGATGTATGTCCGTGACATCTTTATTACCTCTGCTGTATTAGCAGACATTTTCAATCTACCTTTATCGCTTCATTTTTTTCATCGTATAATACTCGAGTTGAACGGTAATTTCATGACATCCAAGCTTACGTAGAAGTCACACCTCGCAGTTAATACCTGATGTGAGTAACCCTGGGGATTGCTTCTTTCCTCCTCGTTATCTCAGGGGTTAGGATGAGCTCGTGATCTTTCAAAACGATATGAACAGCATGGGTGTAATATCACGACACATATCCATTCAACTTGTGAGTGCTTAATGTGTGTGTTTTTCAAATTTAACCAACTACTGTAAGCGTTTCAAAGCTACGATGCCTTTCCAACCACATGGTATGTTTCATATGTCAATTCTGTTGCCTATCATTCTTAAAAGACAGGCCAGGATGAAAATATCCCTGTAACCGCAGTGGTATACCTTGACTTTGAGCCTCGTAGGTCGTTCAGAACTTTGTTAAAGTGCATGAGTATATAGTGTCGGTCGCTATATTAAGCTCACATACCTTATTCTAGCTTCTGAACAGGCCAATTCATCCACTCTTTTTGAGTCACGTCTTGACCTTTTTAATTATTCACTTATCAACCTTGACTGTATGTGTACACTCCTTCCTCACATGCCTGTAACCTAGCTACAAATACTGATTAACGCTTGATTAAACGGGGCTGGCTTACATGCCTTCTCCACCGCGCGTCATTTCGCTTCGCTCTTTTCTACTCGCTTCACCCCTCCCATTTTCTTTCCAGATCAGTGATTACACAAAATACAGGTATTCAAAAATCCATTCTCATATTCGGCTTATTTAATCCCATTATTAACCAACGCGATTCAAGTCGATGAAGTGTACGAAGATAGCCGACAAGTGTGTTTCAATAACAATTATACGATATTACTGGAGTCAGATATCAGGCCACAAAAAACATATGCTGTTAACATGCCAACTAATTCAGTTAAAGCTAACCTAATGAAAAGTCCCACTACAACATTTAAGCAGTTGGAAAGAAGTGTTATGGAATTCTCGATGCACCGCCTTATTTCATCACTAACGCATGGTCAAGTAGTCAACAAAATACACCTACTACATAAACGTTAGTTTCAAACACAGGGTGTTAGTAATGATGGACTGTATTTCTACTTTCCATCGAAATATCGTCTGACGAACCACACAAACATTATTATGTATCCTGAACATAGAAAACCTGTAAGGAATTAATTGGCATCTGAATAATTTTAACTAGTGCACATGTTCAAACATTCCTCGGTGGACTAGCCTGAGTTGTTGGAAAACAAGCTCAAAAGAAGCCAGGGACAATAGAAAGTTTATAAATGCCTTTTTGAAAAAAAGAATACTGGCGATTTAGATGTGTAATAATATTACAAGAAAAATGATACCACCAATTGAAATAAGACAAGTGACGTAACAAAGGACTAAAATGCATAAAATAGAACAAAAAACCGAAGGCATAAAAACAATGAAAACATAATAAATATCGTAAAATGTCATGGTCAGGTGAATATTGCACATTTATAGCAAGAACAAATGCAGTCATGGTTTTTCAAAAACGGGGATGTGTCTACGCTTGGTTGTGAAGAAAAAGTTCAAATTTGAAGTCGGACAAATAATTTAAACGTTGATGCAAGACACCGTGTAGCTGAAATTCATCATTGTCTAGTAAAACAAGTGGAGAGAATAAAAATTCAATAAAGATTAACGTGCTAAAAATTCAATCCAGCAAATAAACACAGGCTAATTTGTTTAGACATCTAAAAAAATTAGCTTTCTATATAAATCCCAAGTCATCAACAAAATTTACTCAATGAGTAACAAACTGAATTTTATAAATTCATATCTTCTTCATTTTAGTTTTAATAGACGCTGTTACGGAGTCTGACGGATTTTAATGAGAAATCTAAAAGTGTACTTTTAAAGGTATTCAATTTGTCATTTGTTTGGTAAAGCTACAAGACTCCCTAGATTGAAGTAAATGAAAAAGTTCTAAGCCTAATGTAGAGAGTTTTAATTGAGAGGTTAAATAGCTAATCCATACATTGGTATAAATTAACATTAGAAAATCTGTTTTCAGTTGTATCTTCCAGACACGTACGTGGGAGAAAATTCGTTTTGCAACATATATTATACTTTCGACTTATTATACGACCCTCAGTTAACACATAACGACAGATATAAATCATTACGTGTTCTTAATAAGGTAATTTTAGCTGCTAAGTGTTAAGAAGAAAAATGTCAAGTTAAAGAAAGACTTGTAGCTTTCGGAAATACTTTAAGGATCAGAAAGAGACATTTTTAAAAATAAAGAATCCAAGATATAATTAAAAGTACAGTTATATTCTGAACAGCAAATTTCTGATCAACTACATGGCAGAGTGCGGAATAATTGTAAAAATGTGACGAATTTATTTTAATCAACTTGGAAATAGAGTTACGATAAGTAACTCGACATACGAGAAAAAAGCAAGTTAGACAAAACAATGAAATAAATAACTATATAAATAAACAACTTACCATTCTTACTAACTAACAAATCAACTACAGCCAAAAGAACAGTAAACTTTTGGCCATTAAATAACTTTAAATCAGACACCATAGGAAATGGACATAACTTATGGTTAACTGTAATCGGACAAGTAAGTTGTTTTGATGGTAAAATTTGAACTAAAAGTGCAAGAACGATAGGTGTATTGTGTAGCTTATCATTTTTATCAGAAAAAGTATCGTCTATAAGGCCATAATCACAGGACACTTTAGTGTTCTGTACGTGATTGGTACTTGGATTAGATACTGATATATCGCCACTGGTATTAATTTCGGGTTCAGAATCATCATTAATGAGGAGTAGGTAGACGGCTGTAAAGGTGGAACGGCATAACTGACTATCATTTAACAGATTTGGATGAAGACCGGATAAAGGAAATAAGACAATATTCATTTCATCACCGATTTTAAGTTGGTCTCCAGCACAGAAAAATGGGACTAACTGAAAAAACAAAAATATTAAAAATTGTAAATATTGTTATATCTATGGTTAAGGTATGGAAGAATTTTTTAAAATCCATTAGTACTCTATAAAGTACTAAGGAATATATTTTCCGGTGGAAACCAATCTTTAACGCCAAGGATTATGGGGAAATACCTGTATGTTAATCAGTCATCAAGTAAGTGATGTATCAGTATTTATGTTATGAAGCTATAAAATCATAATTAAAAGACGTGTAGTATTTGGGATTTATATATATCAATCGTTAATCTTAGGGTACTTTTGAGGACCAGAAAGCACCAAACGGTTATGATATCCTACTATGAGATATCTTACCGACCACCTTACTTTACAACAGATTAAACTCGAAACTAGATGAGAGGGTTAACACTCACTCATGTGAAATTTCAGCTTTAATCAACTGGCTGCCTAACATGAGGGTCATCCAGTGCACCTGTGATACTTGTGTGTGTCCATCGATAAGGAGTGTCTTAACAAGGGGAAACACCTGTCCGGTTTGGGTACATGAAACAATCTTTTCAAATCGCCGTTTACAATTGAAAAACTAGAGATAATAATCAAATAAAAGCGACTCAGTAAGTATGCATTTAAATGTGACCACTGATTGCATACTTCTTCTTAAGTAATTTTAATAATTTGTACTGTGTGTATTTGCAGACATCTTATTTGTTTAAAGTGTGATTATTCATATCACAATTAGTATACTTAACAACATAAAATCTGTGTGTAACATTTTACTTATTATGTATAGTTGAATAATCTATTTCAATATTATCGTTAATTGATAAACTGCCATTATTGGTTTAATAATATTTATATATTCATATGCCAATGTTACTGTATATTAAACCAAAGCCTAATGAAGATCTAACTGAAGACAATATATTTTACTGATATGTTTTTCTAATCATATACTCTATGTGTACTTTTCATGAAAATATAGTCATTATTATTATGATCGTTCATTAATAATAGTATTATTATTTATTCATTTTTTCAGCTGCATACTTTCTTTTTTCATCTTCAAGTACTATATTAACATCATGGTCAAAATATGAATTTATAAAATGATAACTTGCTGTTATTATCTATTCTAAAAGTAACAATATCATATGCTATTTTACTGGTATAATTATGATTGATGATTTGTGGTACGATCATATGAAATTATTTACATCAATTTTTATTTGAATAATAATAGATCTTTCCATTTTATTTAATAATATAACTACATTTTACACTTGAACACTTGTTTATTTCCTTGAAACACGATAAGTTTATCATTAATTTTAATAGGAAATATTTAGATATTAATTTATATTAATATTAGTATACGGATTATTTTTACTGGAGTTACAATAAATTTATTTTCTTGAAACCAAGTTTAAGAGAAAAACATAATCTGGGTCGTCTTAACATTTTACAATGGGTTAACATTAAATGCACGGCCATTTTTTAATTTTTTTTCATCCCATTCGCAAAAAATTTTCATCCCCATCTTCCAATAATTTTTATTCTGTTCCGTCCAATCAAATAGGTAGTTTTGAGTTCGTTATAATTGGTCGTTTATTTCTTAAAATTGATATAAAATGTCAGGACATGACGACAGAGCACATTTTCCTCCAATTATGGGCGGTAGTAAGGTGCAAAGCACGAGCTCTGTCGTTCCTCACGTTGTCACAGAAACCGATAACCTATTCTTGAGCACATTGTATCTCGTAGCGTCTCAATCACTTGAAGAGCGCCGTTAGAACTTATGAAAGAGCTACGTACTGCCATTATGCGGTGAGAGATTCTCATTTCCATGGAGATCGGAAGCCGTATATTAAATTCGTATGTTGGAGAAATGGTCTTAGAACACCTAGCGGTTCTTCACAGCCGAGTAGGAGGTAATTTGATTAGTTTTATTAAAATTTTTCATAAAGGACTTCCGTGAACACTGGATGTCCTTCCTTCATCTTTTGTGAGTTACCAACTATCAAAATAACGTCGATATGGATGCAACGTTAAGCAATAACGAGGAAGAAATTGTTTCGATTAACTCAGAGGAGTTCAATGAACGAGACGACGACAATGACGAGGACGCGTATGACAACAGACTTTGTGATATTTGCAATGTTGCGCAACCGTCATATGAAACTGCTGATGGAAGTGCCTGGATTTTTTGTCCATTTGAAGCAATGTTTCATTTATATTGTGCTTACGACCCATCACCACTTGTCCATGGAATCCTCTGTCCCATATACGGCGCTGTAACGGAATCATAGCAACACCTTTGTTCATGAAATTCGGAACTGTTAAGAGAACGAGTAAAGGCCCTTTTCAGGGCCACCCAAAATTTGATTCCAATTTTTTTGTTTCAATCTCTTATTTCCATGACAAACGTCAAGTGATGAAGCTACCAAAATTCATTTGATATTAATCATCATTATGTGATTATCACCCACGTATTCGAAAAGGCTTTTTAAGCTTTATCAAATATACGGTTTAAGTGAACGATTTCTTATAGGAAATGTCATCTAATGAACAATAATGTGTCTAACAAAATAGTACATGCAAAACTTATTCAGAATGTTTCAATGTTTTGTCATATAGTTACGATAGACTAATGTAGTTATTTATTTATTTTAACACATAGAAATTGGTACAAGGAGGCACCAATTACATATGTGCCACACGAATCTCAATTGATTTGTGTGAGGGCTGTGATACTGCCCGCGTGCCCAAACCGAAGCAGGTGGTTTTCTTAGGAGCCACACCCCGAGCCTTCGACCTAAAGATCTGATCCACAAGACAGTGGAGCATCGTAAGGAGATGCAGTCCCATGGTAGCCGGTGACCAACGATTGGTTCATACGCCATTTGTTCCTTCAGGATACTGGAGCCCATGTGCACCATTGGTTTGGGATCCGGTTAAAACGCCGGACATTCGCCTTTCTTCCTCTCATTTTCGTAGACAACAGCCCCGCCACGAGAAGGCAGTGAGCAGGAATTCCCTGGTAGAGGTTATATACGCGTGGCCATGTGAGAGCATTTCGAGAGGGAGAGCGGACTCTCCCCATTCTCGGCCGTATCAGGGCATTTGGGGGCAGACTAATGTAGTACTACCAGTACACTAGTACAACATTATTTCTATGGGAAAGGTCAGCTGAACCAACATTAATGAGTTCTAATTAAGCCTTAGTGACTAAGCAATATAATTAATTGAGATTTATAAAAATTTCGTGGATTAGTTGAAACTAGACATTAACAGGTTTTCCATGGTGCGCTAAATTCAATTGACTCATGATCTAAATTGTTCAAATCAAAAAAATAATTCTTTCTGACTGTTCCATCCGAGTTTTGATAAAAATGTTAACTTTTTAAAAATAAAATACACCAACTTCATTGAACCGATGCATATATGTGCTTGGTCCTAAGTTGTAATTGACTGATATATATATATATATATATATATATATATATATATATATATATATATATATATATATATATATATATATATATATATGATATTTATAAATTAAGCACATATTCCAAAACTATCAATCAAAAGACTGAGACAGGATGGAAATCAAAAACTAATTAAAACTTTGTTTCTTTAAATAAAATGAAAACACGAACCAATTAATTAAATAGAAAACATTTATGCATAATGCTCACCTTTTGACTAGTTCGAATACATTTATGAGTAATTATTGCACTGTCTTTTTCATTTGTCGGTGTTGAGGTTGATGGATTTATACACTTCATTTGATAATTAGTTTGGACGAATGTATCATCACATTGAACTAGTTCAACTTCAGCTTGACATGTTAAATTACAAGTTGTCACGTCAAACGCTGAATCACATGGGATAACATCAACAAAATTTGAATGTTTACTCGTATTTCCATCGCATAAATTCCGGAAACCGTTTAAATCAGAAGTAATAGCATGCACAAAAGCTGGAAAATCAGTGTAAGCAAGTAAATGCCATGGCCATGAAGAAGGTGAACTGTATGAAAAAAAGAAAACAAAATTCATTCGGTTTACGTTAATAATAATGGTCTTGAATAGAAACGAGAATAACCAAGTGAAATCTTTTACTAACAGATATGTTAATCAGATTAAGAGTAAACGGAAGTTAGTAACTAAAACTTTTATTTTCTTGAACTTAAAGTTTACGCGATGCCTACTGATACTATGTCACGGTTGTTTAAAACAAAGCATGTGAAGTAAGGTCCGAATAGGCTAACCGAACACTAAAACATCAACTAATAATATGAAAATTTATGTAGAATTCTTAAATATATATATATATATATATGTTTGACAGTAAACACCATACACATTAAACATCAATATTCATTATTATGATAAGAATAAGTAAGAATACTTTGAGTTCTCACCCAAACCAATAATACGCGTAAATTTGTTAAAGATGGCGACATTTAAGTAAAAACTTTGGAAAATATAAAACGAGCATTGGTAATCTCGTGAAAATTTATAAATTAACAACAGTTAATAATAGGCTTTGTCAACAACTAATACCAATTGAACAAGATGTAGTTATCTTATAGCTTGAATAATTCACTTAACAACGTTATAGAGATTTGAATTAAAGAATTTGACTTTGAATCACACCGGAAACAACGATGATTAACATGTATGTTGTCATATCGAAGAGAATTTGGGCGAAGTTAAACTTTCATAACTACCAGACGGATTCTTAAATTATTGTGGTCTAATATTCTCCTATTTGTAAGCTTTCGTTTGATTAATAGACTGTTTCATGTGTTCTACTATCTCGAACTAATCATTATTTAATTATTCTCATGTTTCCGTTTTTGCATCCTTTACGACTAATTTGTACAAACATTGCAAAATCATATTTGTGTTACGGTGAAGTCAAATATTTTACCTATATTATCACATAAGCTTCAAGTAATGAATGAACAGAGTGCAATAAAAAAGACTTCTAGGTTACTAGGTTACAAAGAACTTGAGGATCAACAGATGTTAAGGTCTCGGTTATTGTTGGTTGATCCCTGTGTCATTGTCGAAATAGGTCACTGGTCATAGAGGTAACATAGGCGAGAATACTGATAATAAAACAAAACAAAACAACTACTCTCATAATAGCAGCCTAGTTACATGGAATTCAAACTATCCCAATAATCTGAAGTTCCTTTTGGAGAAATGATATATACACATGAAACGGATACTCTTAAAAACAGGGCAAAACGTGAGTGTTCAATTTCAAACAGTTAGTCCACTATTTAAACCGATTTTTTTAAATTTAGTAATCTATTAGATATTTCATAAGTACTTTTGTAAATAACAGTAAATCCTATAAAGGGAACAATAACAGATTACATATGTTAGGAAAATCAAATCAATTTAAGAATTACTTTAGTAGTTGACCTAAGGAACTCTCATAAAATAATTAGCTAGATGAAGAGATTTGTCAGTGTCATTCAGCTACAACGTAGGACCAGGAAGATATACGCATCGGTCCAAGTTGCCACACCTCATTAACACAACAAAATGAACACCAAATTCATAGTCGTTACTTCAATGGTAGTAATACATAAAAAAAGATTGAATATAAAGATACGATACAAGCAGAGAGAATTAGTTCGTAGAAAGAAAGGTATAAAGCAATTTTAATTTCATGGTTTACGGGAACACAGAAAGTGTATACATCTACGCGATTGTGGTCAATTCTAAGCCATATCACACAGAGTCTCCAACCATTGGTCAAGATAGTTGCGCGGACCCCAACCAAATAGCCTGCATCTACCAACATGGCTCAGACTAAAAGTTAGTGACTTCAAGCACTGATGCCACGTTTTGGTTTGGCCGACCCTAACTTTCTTCTATCCGCCTTCAACACTAGTCAGCATTGCGCACCGTGATAATCGGTGTTCAGTCATATGTAACACATGGCCCAACCATCTCAGTCGATCAAGACTCACAGCCTCATCAACTGAGTTATCAATATTCCTTAATACCCTATGTATAACCTCACTATTACTTACCCGGTGATCTCAGCAGATGCGAACAATATTTCTAAAACATCTGTGGTCAAACACTAATAACTTACGAGTATCCTCTATCCTTAATGGCCACATTTTGCAGTCGTAAATTAGAACGGAACGAACTGCCGCGAATTATACTCGTCCCTTAATTGATAAACGGATATCTCGCTTTTCCCATAGGTGACGTAAGTTGGAAAAAGCCTAACGAGCTTTTCGAGTCCGTGCTGAGATTTCGTCAGACACCAACCCATTAGGGCTGACCAGATTTCCACGACAAGTGAGGTTGTCGATGCATTCGACTACCTCAAATGCTGCTTTTAGGTCAAGAAAGACCACCATTGTCGGACGCCAATAAGCATGTCTGTGTCCCGAAATCGGACGAATGATGAATATGTGGTCGATGAAGCGACGACCAGGTTTGAAGGCAGTCTGATGTTTGCAGTTCACGAGTCTTTGTAAGGCGTCCGATAATTAATGAGGCTAGTATTTTAGATGATGTGCTAGTCAAACTAATCAATCTACGGCTATCTCAGAATGATTTTGACCCCTTCCTATATATCGGGGCGATAAATGATTGTGACCAGTACGATGGGATTACGTCCAACTCTCAGATTTATCTAAAATAGTAATTAACCTAATCGCTAAAACTGGACCGCTATCCTTAAAAACATCTGAAGTTAATTCATATGGACCACCTGCTCTTCTTCGTCCCAGATTAACTATAGCCTTTTGGACTTCAGCTAGAGTCGGGGGACCTACTTCAATGCTCCATTCACACTGTCTGGGAATGCTGGGTAGTTGTAGAGGAACTGAAGGCCAGTCGAACTGTTCCTTAAAGTGTTCCGCCCATCATTCGAAAAGTCTGGGCTGAGAGCAGATAAGTGTGTCGTCTTTTTCCGAGATAGTCTCGCCTACAATTGACTTTTTAATTCCAGTTTCTTTTATTAGTCTGTAGAGTTGTCTTGTGTTCCCTATAGCCGCCGCCTTTTCCATCTCTTTTGCTTTCGTTGCCCACCACTGCTCACGATCGTTCCTTAGACTTTTGCTTAACCTACATCTGATTTCTTTACGCTCTTCATCGTGTTGAGAGCCTGATAAGGTGAGTTTACGAGAATTGATCAGTGCAATAGACATTGAAGAAACCCATTGGTTCGTTGTAACCCTGTGGTTTAAATCACTAGTTGATGTCACTGCTGTTTCAACAGCTGCTTGTAAATCTTTCCAAGCAACATCTGGATCAGCCTCGTTTTCAGAACTACCTAAGTGTGACCTCAGTTGTTCCTGGAACCTACTTTTGGTTTTCTCATTACTCAATTCGGTTCTAATGAGTCTTTTTTGTGTGGCTCTTTTGCGTCCAGTGAGGTGCAAGCAGATGCGTGCTCGTATTAGGGCATGGTCGGAGTCCAAACAGGTACTCCAGAATGAGCGACAATCTTCTATTGACCCTCTCCAACGATGACTGATGGCAATATGGTCTATATGAGTCCATCGCTGGTTTGGTGCGGGGTGTCGCCATGTTAGACGATGTCTCTCTTTATGCTTAAAATCTGTGTTTGCTAAAAATAAACGATTGTCTGAGCACAGTTGCAGCAGACGATCACCATTATCTGTTCGCTGTGCTGGAATACTAAGATACCCATCTGAATGTCTTTCTGCTTAGTTTAAGCTATCTACATAAGCATTAAAGTCACCTGCTACGAGTACTATGTCTGAGTGTTTAGCTTTATGAAGTTCAGAGAGTTTTCTGTAAAATTCATCTTTCACTTCTTCCGGGCTGCAGTCAACGGGAGCGTAGGCAGAAGCGACGAAAAGGCAACGACATGTGCCGAACAGCACATACGAGTGCTTGCCCTGAACTTATACTTAGTGCTATGACTACACCCGTCAGCCCACGAGAACTTGCCGTCGGGTCGCCAGGTAAACGAGGGGTATATCTCGTCGACTCCCCGTTTTGGTTTTGTGAGGTTAAGTTAATGATCACAATAGGATCTTGTATGTGTGTTTCGGAGACATAGCATACATCAATGGTATGATATACCAGGGTCTTGGCCAAGGACGTCTGCTGGCCGATCTGACGTAAGTTACATACAGTGAAGACTGCAATGTGTAGTTCGGAGCAAGGTTTCAGTAGACCCGAGATAGTATTTCGCACACTAGAATCGTTGGCCATGGTGACACTTGAGAAGGAAGTCGATGAGGTTGATAGTCGAAGTACGAAGGGTAATAGAATTTAAAGAAGAAAATCGATTATTAATTCAGTGATCTTGAGTGCTGTTAAAGATATGAAGGCAGTTACTACTTCACAATTGTCCACACTGTGAAAGGGTTTTTCTAGAGATACCTGAAAAGGAAATTGTTTTAGAGGTGGTTTTAGTGATGTGAAAGTGACTGCAGTATTCAAGGGACAACTGCTTGAGGCCGGTCACACACGACTTTGCCGTGAGTAATTTTCATATTAGCTCCGTATGTTTTGAGACTTTACCGCCAGAGACGAATATCCGTGGGATAAGGCGAGATGTGCATTCTTAGGGTTGACATTTTCTAACCTACCCTTCCTTGTGGGAGGTCACCATCACTGTTATGTTTGCTGCTTTTAGTCTTACCGTTCTTGAACCGACTTGTCTGGCATGGTTGGACTTTGAAGAACGATTGTTCCAGCCAGTATAGCTCGATTAGTTCATCACTATAGGCAAGTTCGACCACCACGTCAAGGTAGCAGCAACGGTAGAATATTTTGGAAGCAGATAACTTCAAAAAACTTTGTTTACTAATAGATTAAACATAAATAGAATTACCAAGGGAAACTGTTACTGATACTCAAAACATGAACAGGCAATGTAGAAAGAAAATCATGAATTCGACCAATATCAATGAAACTTGAAGGGGAATGTGATTTATGACCATTAGAATTTGGTTCAGATGATTCAAATTGTGAGGTAGAAATCAAATTAAATTCTATTGTTTGTGCATGATGAGTTGGCGTTACAATTGAAGTTGTCGCCAAACTATGCGCAGATAAATTTGAATGATGGCTTCTAGGTAATGTACTGTATTCTTCTGGATTGATTTCACCGAATAAACTATCATTACGAATAAGTAGAGAAAAAGAGTCATCTGACTCGTCAACATTTAATTCAGCTGCTTCCGCCTCAAACAATTCAGAATCTTCAAATACAAGAGCGACCAAATTAATTGTCTCGGTATCAGGTGATAAACAATCTCGTTTTGACCACCGAAAAGTTCTTGGGGCCATTCCTTACTAAAGAACAACCACGGAGAAAAAGAATTATCACTAGTTATTTCAAGAAAAAAAACATAAAATGGCAATATGGAGATTATTCAGAATACCGAACAACATATTATAGTAAAAAACAAGGCATAAAATATGGTAGATAAATAACTATATTTAATAGTTATTTATCGGTGCATTGACTTGCCTGATAACAATTTACTGTAGAGTATAACTAAAATGGCATTGAAAAAATGATCTGAATCGATCAATATAATGACTATAGGGTACCTAATTTTATATTTTCTAATTCGTAGTGTTGACTGAGCGCTATCAACTGAAATATTGACAAATTCAGTAGACTCGTCCCCAATACTAAGTAAGAAGTCTTAGCTAAAGTGGATTTTGATAAGTTAAGAGTCGGAAGTATATGAAAATTCGATAAGCCTCAAATCACATACATTAAGGCTACAGAAAAATACAGATGAAGTATTCCAACTAGCCGGTTTTAATTTTTAAAAAATTAGATGGCACAGCATATGGTTATGGTTCGAGTACCTGTGAACGAATATGTACCTCGATTTTCTGCATATACCTTCCTCATGGATCTGAGTAAAAAATATCTAAGATGTAATGATGAGTTACGTAATAAATGAAAATTTGAGCTTCAAAAAACTCAAACAACACGTAGTGTTAGAGAATGATAATTTATGCTACCATAGGAATATATGAGTATGGAGTTTATATATTTGAATATGAGAAATCAACCTTTTGAGATTTCAGAACAAAGTTCTATATGAGCATTTCAAACAAATACCTCATTCAAGCATAACCTTGGATTGTACATAAAATAATTTTTATCAACATCTAGGGATGTTCAAGCAAAAACTCACGAAGTTAAGTATTTACTAATTTAAATATAGCAAGTAATAAATAAAGAATATTACGTGAAAGTATTCTTAGTTTATATCCCGAATGGATCTTAGACAACTATTGAAAAACCAAGAAGCATTAGGCAGCTGTTTGGTCTTAATACGGGACCTCTCAGTAGTGAATATTCACGACCTCACTGCAGACCAAAACCCAGAATCTTAAGGTCTCACAGCGAAAACTCAAATCAGACATGTAAGCTTCCTTAGTGGTCTGAAGGATGAGCGCTCGCTGTGAGATCTGAAGATCTTGAGTTCGATACCAAAAGAGATTGTGGATGAGCACCACTTAGGTCCCATATTAGAATGAAACAGGTATTCAGTGCTTCCTGGTTTTTCAATGGCTGTATAAGATTGGTCAGGGTAAGAATTGAAATTCAACAATATCCACAAATTCCCTAAAGTACTTTGAAAGCACTCGTGATAAATCCTAACACATTAATTAAAAAAACTAGTTATCTGAAAATCTAACTGGGTTTATCAAGTTACAACAATATATTACCTGTTCGAAAAGACACAAATTCAGATAAAAATAAAAAACAATGTATATTTATAGAAATAAAAGTTTGGGAAAAAACAGAACTCATATTATTATTAGACATTTTAATTCGAAAAGTAATGTAGTACAACGATAATGCTTTTTGTAATATCAACTTTAATATCCATGTAAGAGTGTGGAAATGTGAAGAGGCACATATACATACATAATACCGTCCAGTTTAATTGAATAGCATAAAACATGATTTACTTAGAAGAAACAAAGGAAATAAATATATAAGTAATCCCACATCAAACTCTTTTCTATTCATCCTGTGACATAATACTGTGAATTCTCATAAGTAAAGTAGTCAACTTTTCAAACACCTTTATAAGTAGAACTAATTCCAAGATTGATTTGTTCTTTAGTACAATGAAATACAGCGCTAAGTAATCGAATAAAACCTGTATCCATAGGTTTATCCAAACCGCGTAAGAGTCTATGCCGCATAACACCAACAAATTCACGATAGCTTAATTGTCCGTCATCTAAAATAACAACGAAAATAACAGAAAAATAGACGAAAAACTGTAGAATAACGGAACATATTTTGCAATCGAATGAACGTTATTCAAACAGATTTAAAAATGATGAAGATTCGCATAAGGATTTTTCAACCTTTTAGAACTAATATTGCTCTATCATTAATTCACTCCCATTTTATACAGAAAAAAGACGCAAAAATGAGAGAAAACAAATATGAGATAATTTACAAAATAAATTGAATCAACTGGGATAAATATTGAACAAAGTGTATGCCTTCTTCAGTTACGCATACACAAACACAAACTATCAGTAAAACTATATGATATATTACTACTGATATCAATGCATTGAAATAACTATAGACAAAAATTTGAATAGAAAAACGTGAAGATCATAGATCGAGGAAACTCTAATAATGCTAAAGAATTTCTGGAAGCATAGCATTTAGCTCATTGAGTAACCAATAGAAAAAATTGCCTAAATTCAGCCTATTAGCCCGTTTGACAAAGGTCAGTCGGGAACATGATTACAGGTCAACAGAACAACAGTCAACCTAAGTATAAATGTAGTGAACAAGAACACGAGTGGAGACAATCGAATGCATCTGACCACAAAATTACAGAACATTTCACTAAAATCTGAGAACCATATAGTAAATAGTTAATTTGCAAAATATCAATTCATCGTCTTACACATGACTGTTCCTTTTGCAAATATCAGTCCATTGTCTCAGATTCCATTGTTCATGCATTTCCATGCCAATTGCGTTCTGTTTCCGTTCTTTCCTTATCGATCTTCTACTGAAATACATGATATGCCTGACCACCGTTATACACTACTTATGTGGATATAAGTAACCCCACCACATAAGGACACGTACAGATAATGAAATTTATGAAGACAATCAATCATAAACAAACCCACTAAAACAAACTGATTTAGGACTTATGAAATAAGTAAGAAGCTTACTTCTAAATAGAGTAAACAATGATGATACTGTTTAGAGCAACAATGAGAAGCCTGCAACTAAACGATTTAGCTCAAGGAACTCGACAACATCAAAAGACTAAAAAATCAAGGTAATCTTTAAAAATCGGAATTATATGGTAAATGTAGATGGTTAAGGAAGGTCCACTTCCAGTACGTCTAGAATATAAAAACTCTGGACAAATCATACCTCATTAATTGATATACGGTTATATTTACGTCCACAAACTACTGATTTTAATTTGAATAAGCATATTATCTTGTTACTATTAGAAAATACTCTATGTATTGTTTAGAGATCTAATAAACAAACTACTTAAATAGATATTTGACAAAATGTACACGAAATTCACTGGCTTACTATTTTCATCGAATAAAGTGAACACAACATCTAAAACATGTGGCGACAAGTGAAGATTGGCGACAGTTGAAGCAACATGATTTAAAGTATCTTGATTAATTGATGCCCCGGCCATATGATAAAATGTTAAAGCAGTATCCACATCAGCAATAGATCGAAGTAAATGACTGAAATCAGAAAAATCTTTATACGTGATACCCTAAAACATATATATACATGGAAAAAAAGAAAGGATTAAGATTTTTGGTAAGAAAAAGCATTCTATTTGTAAGTGTTGTGTAAAAAATAAACTTTACATTAAGCAGACTAAGAATAAAGAATTGTAAACAAAAAACAACTCGTTATAAGTAATATCGTAGAACAAATGAACTGTTAAATAAGATTTACAAACTACTAATTAACATGAGATGGACGAATTACAAATATTATATAATTATTATCTATACGTGGTAAAATTGACAGAATATTCAACATACTTATAATCGAATAGTAGTATATACTAGGGAATGTATGCGAACGATTATCATGAAAACGATTAATAATCGATAAACTATTTGAATTCTAACTGTAGTTGTAAAGTTACTATTGTGAGAAAATTACGTTTAAGTCAACAAAAAACCCAATTTAAATGATTACCGTAGACATGGGAACAATTAAAAAACTATGGAGTTCTTCACTAGCTACTTAGAATAATCTCATGGTTATTACTATGATTAAATAGCCAAGAGCATATTTGAAGCTTTATTTTGTATGCATGTATATGTGTAATCGGTAATGATACTGATCAACTATCAAGATAAGAGTAAATAGATTAGATTTTCAAACCAACTTAGCGGTTGTAGGTACAGTAACAGCCGAACAGTAAATACAGTTTAATCCTAACAATAATGAGTTGAAAACTTAATAACAATAAAATATTTAACTGATGGAAATAGAATGATGTGAATTCAAGAATTCATAAGGTTGTAAATGCACATATTTAATGAAAGTCTACAACCATGCATAATAAATAAGGCTTTAAGCATTTAGTATATCATTATCTTAGATAATAGATTAAACAAAGAGATACTTGGATTGTACGGAAAAATTAACTAAAAGAAATATTTCTCTAAATTAAAATATATCAAAGTGACTTTGATATTCTTTTTACAGGAAGGAAATTTCAAACAATAATTACACTAGTTTGATTCAATTGTAATGAATAAAAGAAAATCTGTAAGTTGTAAATATATTCAATCGAAAATTTCACAATGCAATTCACATGTTCATTCTAGCACAACTATTAAGAAAGGTTAAGGTCAGTTGAAGCAGCATGTAGCAATTACAAACTGAATCATTTTTATATACAGTGGTAAAGTGAACAGATTTTTATATTAGGAGAGAAATAATCAAGTGGGAAATAATTATATATATATATATATATATATATATATATATATATATATATCACCAGTAGAAAAAGGATGAAGAATGAAAAGATCTTTAATAACCAAGAGATAGGATAACGATAGGGCAAACATTTTCAAATATATATAGATCAAAGTGGTTGGTAAAATGTGATGAAAGATATTTAACGCTTTCTTGTAGTTGATCAACACAAAAAGGGGTGAAAAAAGACTTACACTAGACTGATCAGAATCTATAGGAAACTTTGTTTTTACTCGACGAATCATTTTACGTCTTTTATTCTCAGAAAATCCAGCATAAACAAGTAGAGAATTGG